GATCCACATAGTCTTAAAAGTATAAAATAGAATCTGGCATTAAAAAGCTTCCTGCAAAATAAACTTCCAGGCTCAGCTTGTTTGATGAGTAAACTTCACCAAATATTTGTGGAAAAAATAACCCTGATCTTGTACACACTCCTCTAGAGAAGAGAAAAAGGGAACATTTTCCAACTTGTTTTTGCCACAGTCTCATCCAGAACCCGATGAGGGGGTGGCAGAAAGGAAAACTGGAGGTCACCCTCCCTGGGGAACACGGAAAAAAGTCCGACACGCCCCATGAGCGAGGACAGGAAAACCTTTCCAAAAACTACAGGATGGCCGGGGCCCCTGTGATAAAACTAAAGCGGGACCCTGACACCAGAAACAAAAATAACTCCAGGTGAGCTGTAGATCGGAAGACGGAGGTCACCGAAACGCTAAAGCATGCCCCGGGACGGAATATTCCGTGTTTTCCTGACTTTGGGGTAAGAAAAGACGTTTTGAAAAAGATACACACATACTAACCCCAAGAGAAAAGGCTGATGAACTCGGCTGCAGCCACGTTGCGGACTGTTTTGCATGGGTTTGCGGGGAGCTAACAGAAATCACGGCCTTCGGGCTTCAAGGCAACAGAAGTGCCCCCTACCGAAACCTGGGGGGGCACCGTGGGCGATTCCCCGGGGGGGAGAGGTGGCCCCTCGGCGGCCTGCAGAGCAACCCAAGACAGGGTTAAACGCAAGAGACCCGAACTGCCCACTTCCGAGACCAGGAAAAGACAGCAAAACATTGTCCGTCCAAAGAAAATAAGGGGAGAGAAAAGGAAGGCCACAGGAGGACACAGGAAACGCGCGAGACCCAGCAGAACCCAGCGCCGGTGTTTTGAAAAGACCAGCGAGACAGACAGGCCTTCGCCAAAACAGCGTCGAGAAGAAAAGAAAGAAGACACAAATAAACAGCTCAGAGCGGAAGCGAGGCGAACCCACGAGATGAGAGAATGCGAGTACACACAGCGGAGGGCCTCCCCGCGGCGGACACCCCTCCTGGAAAACAGGCGTTGGCAACTCGGGCCGGGGGAGAGAGGCAGCACGCCCGAAGAGGTCGTGAGCCGAAAAGGAAGACGCAACACTGAAGGTCGGCCCTCAGAAGGCCTCTGGAAGTCTTACAGGTAAAAACAGCATGGAAACAGAAGAAAGGAAAGCAAAGACAAAGGAACAATTCTCCGCTAAATATGCTGCTGGACGTCTTCACAACCATGAAGCTGGCGCGGCGCTCGTACACAGGCGAGGGGCAGAGCCGGACGGGGGCGGGGGGGGGCGCTGCCGGCAAACTTGGCCGTGCGGGACCCCGTCACACCTGCGCCGCACGGGGCCTCGGAAGCGCTCCACGGTACATGGCACACGTGTTTGCGTCACGTAAGGGGGTAAGGGGCAACATCCAGGGCGTCGTTCCACACACTTCGGCAAGAAGCGACAACAAAGCCCTGGCTGGCGTAGCTCAGTGGATTGAGCGCGAGCTGCGAACCAAAGTGTCGCAGGTTCGGTTCCCAGTCAGGGCACATGCCTGGGTTGCGGGCCACAGCCCCCAGCAACAGCACATTGATGTTTCTCTCTCTCTCTCTCCCCCTCCCTCCCTTCCCTCTCTAAAAATAAATAAATAAAATCTTAAAAAAAAGCGACAACACAGTACAACGAGGGCCCCAAGAGGGTTATCGCAGAAGAAAGAAGCCGTATCCGCACGGCTGAACACCACGTTCAAACGGCAGTCTCCGTGCACCGGGGGCGGGGGGGGGGGCGGGGGCGCGAAATCCTAAAGCGCAGTAAGTCAGCCCTGGGGAGGGTTTGGGGTAACCGTGCTGACCCCGAGCTGGGGAGCACATCCGGGGAGCCCCCTTGGTTGACAGTTAGTGGCGACTGAAACTGAGAATGTGGGGGTGATTACTGTTAGCCACCCCACTCCCGTTTCTCTCCGTAAAAGAAAAAAAATACGTACCCAAGAAGGTTCCGATAAAGATGTCCATTTTAACATTTAAAAAACAAACGTTTGCTATGCAAATGTCTCTGATGGGTCGATGGATAAGTAGACTGTGATATGTTAAAGTGAGATCGTATTAAATAACACTAAAAATGAACAGATCATAGCCATATAAATCAATGTGGCTTGATTTTTAAAAACATTGCTGGGCAAAAAAAACGAGACACAGAATAATTTGAACAATATGATACCTTTTTATTTAAAATTAGTTTTTTTTTAAAATTTTTATTTATTTACTTTTCAGAGAGAGTCAAAAGGAGGGAGGAAGAGAGGGAGAGAAACATCAGTGTGTGAGAGATACATCAGTTGGTTGCCTCTCGCAGGCCCCCATCTGGGGAACCTGGGCCGTGACCCAGACATGTGCCCTGACTGGGAATCAAACCTGAGACCGTTTGGTTTGGAGGCCGGTGCTCAGCCCACTGAGCCACACCAGCCAGGGTGATACTGTTCTCATAACCACAAGCAAGGCTGTGTATTTTCAGGTACATAGGTGTATGTAAAGTATTCTAAAACACTGGAGGGGCGCAGGCCAGACCGCTGGTGTCGGGGGCATTATCTGGTCTCTGAGGATGGGGGTGGGGGGGAGGCAAGGAAACCAAGAGGGAGGTGGATAAGACACTAAAGGCATCGGCAGCGCTTTAAATAATTAAAAGGAGGAAATGAGCGTAATGTTTGTGCAGTTAAAGTAGCAACACAGGGACCCAGCAAGGGCAGGCTGGGTTAGCCACGTGTCGTGGAGGGTTGGCATTTCTCGTGGAGGTTCTCCACCTACTGTGGAGCAGCAGGTTTGCGGTCACAGGTGGAGGCTGCAGGATGTCGGGCAGGTGCCCGGGCACAGCCTCGCGTGGGTGTGAGGGGGGGGTCTGCTGGGGCCCGAGGCCAGCCCAGCGCTCTTTCCTCCAGGAAGCCTTGGCTGAGCACTTGGGAGGATTCTATAAAAGGGAGCCATACTTCAAAAGTCCTAGAAACGATTTCTGCTCATACCCCAGCTGGTCCGGGGCGTCCGTCTGAGGGAAAGGAAAGGGAGCCGGGTCACGGGAGGAATGCGCAGAGAAGAGCAGGCTATTGTTTTGAGAAGTTGTTCTAAGCCCCTGCATTCCCCATCATAGCTGGATAAGCGCCCAGACAGTATGGGCTTTAATCAGACCGAAGGCTCGTTCCCTCACGTTAGAGGTCACACACACAGTCCAGGGCAGCGTAGGGATCTGTGCTCTCGGGGACCTGGGCCTCTTCTCTCTTGTTGCTCCGTGCCCTCCCCATGTGGCTGCCACCTCATGACCTCAGACGGCTGCTGTGGTTCTCGCCATCACATCCTCACTCCCACCTAGCAGCCAGAAGGAAGCAGGGGACAAAAAGTGGAGGGCATGTCCTTCTGTTTTGCAGGCACACCCAGACTCACTCGTGTTGCTTCCATTCTTGTCTGGCAAAGCAGAGCTGGCTACCATGTCAGCTCTCAGCCGTCAGAGCTGCTGGGGACCTTGTCATCTGGGCAGCCAGCAGGGGCCATAGGGCCCAACTCCTTCCTGCCCAGGAAGGTGTGCCGGGTGACCTGTGTCTCCCTGCTCTCCTAGACCAGAGGCCAGCCTTCCGAGACGAGCGAAGGACAGGGCCCCTGGCCTATTTTTTCCCTGCAGAGACCGAGCCTGCCCTGAGGGCCATTTAAGACTAAGAACTACGTTTTTGTTCTGAGGATGAAATGTTTACTTACTTATCTTTACCCCCAAGCTGTCCGTGAGCATCCTGTCCACCTGGTCGGATGCAGACCGGGTGAGGATGACTCCACATCCTCTGTGCCCCGCTGAGCGCCGCCGGCGTGGGCTCGGGACCCGGGTCTTCGTGATCTCTGTCCTCCCTGGCGTCCTTGTTTCCTGCTCCTGCCTGACCCCGACCAGCGCTCCGGGCAGCGCGGCAGGGCGCATTGCACAGCCTTAGTCATCCTCCCGCCCCCGGGGTTTATGGGAAGCTTGGGGCCTTGTAAGGTTCAAAGCCTACAACGATAATAAAGACACCCACTCCACTTGGCTTGGGCGACAGCTGCAGGCCAGCCGGGCCACCCCCGGAGGCACAGACAGGCGTTGGGTGAGGAGAGAGCAGGCCGGCCCACGCTTGGCTCCGGGACCTGGTGCTCCGGGATCTGTGCTCTCGGGGCCCAGCCTGAGTCTGGCCCCCCAGGCCCTGTCCTCCTGGCTGCTCAGGCCACCTCTGTCACTCACCTTCACTGTGCTCAAGATGCCGGCGAGGTGCCATCTCTGAGACACCTCCAGGCCCGCGACCCTTGGGGGCCCTGCAGAGCACAGGTTTGGGGGTGCAGAAAAATGCGCTGCAATGGAAAGCTACGCGTGGTCAACTCACAGCCAGGGTAGAGAACGCCCTTGCCGGTCTGCGTCCTGGCCACTCAGTGTCCTTTTCACAGCGTGCACTGACCTGTCCAGAGGTCCAGACACCTCTGCGACCCCGCCCTGGGGAAAAACGAGCTCTGCCTCTAGTTACATAACTATTTCAATACTTTTGATCTATTAATGGGTCACTGTATCAACAGTCTTTTGAACAGGTTATGACATGGCTGGGTCCTTTGTTAATGACTAGGATAAACTCTTTAACACCTGTCCACATGTATACCCGAACGAGAACTATGATTTCACCTGTTTTTGAGAATGATCTGTGACTGGGGGTTGGAAGAACTGAATTTTGATCTAACTTCTAGGGCTTACTGACCTCGTGACCTTAGGGAGACCCTCATCTGAAAGCAGAAGCCGATGAGGGCCGGAGAGTTCTTAAAACTAGCTCAGCCTATCCTGGGCTGAGACCCCGCCCCCGCCCGCCTACGCTCCGCCCCCGCCCGCCTACGCTCCGCCCCCGCCTACGCCCGCCCACTCCCGCTCACTGTACCCGGGCCCGCCCCGCCCCACTCCCCCCGGCCCCGCCCCTCGGTACAAAAGTCCTGGCGGTGAGCGCACAGTCCCACAGCTCCGCTCCCGCGGGTCAGGGCCCAGTTGGAAGGGGCATCTGCGGCGCGCCGTCTCATTGGCTGGCTGCGAAGCGGTCCCAGGCCTGCGATTGGCCGACGGGCGGGCGGGCCGTTAGCGTCATGGAGGCGCCTGGGGCGCTGGGTGAGCCCCGGTTCCGGGAGCCGGCGGACGGCGAGGAGCCCGGGCCTCCGAAGAGGAGGAGGTGTGCGGGAGCGGGGCGAGCGGGGCGAGCGGGGCGAGCGGGGCGGGCGAGCCTGTTTTTCCGGGACCTGGAGGGCGGGCAGGGAGGCGCGGGCGCGGGACTGGGCCCCGGACCCCACACCGCACCGCCTGTCCGCGGCGGTCCCCGCCTCGGCAGCCAGCCCTCCCGGGGACAGACCGCTCCGCGCGGCGCCAGGCGCCCACAGGGTCTCGGAACTCAGGCGCGACCCCCGAGGCAGCGGGACCCTCGGCGGTCTCCTGCGTGCACTGACTTGTAAAGCCAGCCTCCCCGGCCTCCGGTCTAGGCAGAGAATTCTAGCGTGGCATTCGTGATGGGGGCGGCCGGGGCCACTAGGATTGTTGATACCGTGAGGTGCACGCCGGGCTGGAAGAGGTGGTGCGGGGAGCAGGGACTGTGACCTGGATCTCTGGGGAGGAAGGGGTGGTGCCCGGAGTGAGGGCTGTGACCTGGATGTCTGGGGAGGAGGGAGATTTCAGTAGGTGGAGGCGAGACAGGGTGTTCCAGTTTGAGGGACCAGAAGGGGCAAAGGCGGCCCTTCTGGGCTGGGGTTTCCTTCCCGGTTGGGGCGTTTGCTTACCTGGGCTGCAAGGCACGTGGGCAAACACGTGGGCTGCTTCTGGAAGCAGCACCTGCAGCTTTGATTTTAAAACCCAGAAAGTGAGACGGCGGGTGTTTCAGACAGGACAGCGGTGGAAAGCCAGCGGGTCCCCAGCGCGGGGAGCACGAGGAGGGGGGTGCTCTGTAACTGGAAAAGGAGCCACGTGGGCTGGGGGCAGGAATCTGTCTCACCCCCCTCCCGCCCACCTCTGTCCGCTGGGGGCCCTGATCCCCCGCAGGTCCAACGCGGGGTTCTGGCGGGGCAGCCCCTGAAGAGGGAGCTTAGCCCACACAAACAGAAAGTGGAAGTGGAGTGCTGACCAACGATCACTTCTGCAGGCAGACAGGTGGCCTTGGATGCCGGGAGGTTCGAGAATTGCACCTCTGAAGGCCAGTGGATGGCAGCTTCTTACCGCTGCTCTAAAAATAACCATCACTTTTAAAAATGAAAGTGGTTTAATTTTTTTATCCGGCTCTTCCCAACTTAATGTCCCAAAGGTGTTCTTTTTCTTAGAGCGACCCCCCACGACAGCCCTCCCCTGGGGAGTCAGGGCCCCGCGGCACACACTAGGGAAGCGAGGACGGTGCAGGGAGCGTGCCCCTGCCCCCTTAGGCCCTTAAACTGCCTGCTTCTTTGCGGCGCCCTGCTCCTGGGCTACAGCGAAGCCCGGGAGGTGTAGTTCTGGTCTCCAGGGCGATGTTTGGGTGGCCGTTTCAGAGGCTTCGGTGTTCGTCCACAGCAGGAGGGGTAGCGGCCGAGTGACGGTCCAGGCAGAGGCCGAGCCTGTCGCACGCACACGCTGCCGCGTGTACGTGGCCTGCTGCGCGTGCCCATGGTCCGCATTGAAACATGTGAGCCAGAGAACGCCTTCCTCCGCGCGGGCAGCGGGGCCTGGTCCATGGGTGCTTCTCCCTGTTCTTTCTCTCTACCCTTCTCTTTAGAAAAAACAAAAAACAAAAAACGTGAAACTCCCTCTTTCCTTAGAACCGAAGAGGATCAAGAGGGAGCCGTCTTTCGTGAAGTAGTGGGTTTCTCCCCGGATCCTTTGCCGGGTAAGGGGCCGGGGCGCTCGGCGCTGCCTCCGAGCTCACTCTGGGGGCTTCCTGGCTGCACGGCCCACTTCCTGTCTCGAGTTCCCACTCGGTCAGTGTTAGAGCGCCACTCATTATCCCGCACTTGTCACCGCTTCCTTTTCTGGCCAGTCAGATACTATGACAAGGACACCACCAGCCCCATCAGCTTTTACTTGTCCTCTGTGGAGGAGCTCCTGGCATGGACCCCCGACGTGGAGGACGGCTTCAACGTGGCCGCGGGCCCCGTCCAGAGTCGGCGGCCCCCCTTGAGCAGCCAGAGGCCCCGGACCTTGCTGTGCCACGACATGATGGGCGGGTACCTGGATGACAAGTGAGGACACGGGACATCACCCGCCTTGACTTTGTGCTTGTTTTCTTGGGCAGACAGGCTGGAGGGGAGGGAGGGTGCCGCATGGCCGAGAGGGCCCCGGGTGTGGGGCGGGCAGGAAAGCAGCTGAGGCCTCGGTGTCTCATCTGGAAAATGGGGGGGTGGTCGGGGCCAGCCACACCTCAGTCAGCTCTGAGACCCTCCGATTCCGCCCGCGCCTGCATCCGGCCGGCAGGTCAGGACACAGCAGCAGGGTCCAGAAACCCGGCTCTTCGATTTTCTGCCGCTGCTCCCTCCCCGGAGCTCTGACCACATCTCGGCAGGCCGGCCCGCTCCCCCGCCGGGGGCCTTTCCCCCAGGGTTGCTGCTGATCAGCTCACAGATCTCCGGTGACCGGCGAACGCCCTCGGGCTCAGCCTTGGTGGGAAGGCTTGTGTGTCACAGGCGGCTGATGAGATCTCGGAGCCTTACGTGCGTGCAGGGATGCTGTCCGGCAGGAGTTGCGCACTCGGAGCCGTGCGCACCGCCTGGGGCCTCTGCAGGAGCCCTGCTCCTCCTTCCTCCTGCCGGGCTCCCCCCGGGGCACTGATGGAGGCTCTGACGGAGGGCCCGCCAGGCGGGGTGGATGCGTTTCCCTGGAGACCGACCCTCCCGGGGACGGCACGGCGGTGCAGCCTGCCTCTGGCCCAGCATCTGCGTGGTGCCTGACGCGCGCATGCTTTCAGTCCGTGTGGACGGACGGGACCTGGGGGCCGCCGTGGCTTCCTGCTGCCTCTCGGGTCCTGACCGGGAGCTGTTTCTCCATCAGGTTCGTCCAGGGCTCGGCGGCCCCGAGCGCCTACGTCTTCTACCACTGGCAGTACATCGACATCTTTGTGTACTTCAGCCACCACATGGTCACCGTCCCCCCGGTGGGCTGGACCAACGCCGCCCACCGGCACGGGGTCTGCATGCTGGGTAAGGGCCTAGGGTGCGTCTGCGGCCCAGCCAGGCCCCTGAGCGCACCTGCCAGGTGACTCGGCGACGGCAGGGCTGGGCTCTGCCTCCAGCGAGCTGTACCTGGGAGCCGCCTTGGGAGTTAGGACGGGAGAAGGCAGCCCTGTCCCGGAAAGGACAGTGACTGTCTCCAGCCGTGGGTCGCTGGTGAGCTGCTGATGAGACGGCAGCCTCCGTAAGCGACAGGCAAGCCGGAGAGGACCGTGCTGCAGGACGGTGGCGTTGGCCCCTCCGGCCTTTGGCTGCATCCGGCCCTCCGCCGGCCCGAGTGCCGCCTGTGGCTGGGCCCTGCCCCGGGGGGTCTGACTCACAGCCGGTCACAGGGATGCTGCCGGCGCGGGAGCCGCACTGCCAGCGGCGCTGGTCAGGGAGGGGGCGCCCACGCAGGACCTCGCCGCCGTCCCTCCCGCAGGCACTTTCATCACCGAGTGGAAGCCAGGCGGACAGCAGTGCGAGGCCTTCCTGGCGGGGGACGACCGGGCGTACCAGGCGGTGGCCGACCAGCTGGTCCTGATGGCCCAGTTTCTGGGCTTCGACGGCTGGCTGGTCAACATCGAGAACTCTCTGAGTGTAAGCACGGCCTTTCTCATGGTGCCAGTCCCGCCCAGGCCCCGCCGCTGCGGGCTGTCCCTCCACGGTGTCCTCGTCCTCCTGGCCCACACCCAGGCCCTCTTCCCATGGCGGCAGCTGGAGCTGCCCCTCGCTTCCCAGGCAGAGCCGGCTCCCAGTCTGCATGGCTTGGGCACGGAGCCTTCCCCCGAGCTGTGTCCAGAAACCTAGCGTGTGGCTGAGCTCTGTCTCTGGCTCCTCCCTCCTCCTCCGCGTTGCTTGGCTTGGGCTGCCTGTGGGGCTTCCTGTCCCGACGCCCTCCTTTCTCGTGGCGTTCGGTCTTGTCCTGACCACTGTGTCCGCCCTTCCTGCTTCAGAAAGCCGGAACTTGCCTCCGTGGCCGTGGGGTCCAGGGGCTTCCAGGACCCCGGCTGTTTTGGTGGGATCGGGTGTTCTGTCTGGCCCGCCAGGCACCGCCAGACCTGACCCAGGGTCCGGTCTCTGTGCCTGTCTGTAGCCAGCCGCCGTGGGGAACATGCCGCGTTTCCTTCAGTACCTGACCGCCCAGCTGCACCGGCAGGTCCCGGGCGGCCTGGTGCTCTGGTACGACAGCGTGGTGACCAGCGGGCAGCTCAGATGGCAGGACGAGCTGAACGAACACAACAGGTGAGCCGGCAGGACGGGCAGCGCCGCCTCCAGGGCCGCCCCGCGGGAGGGGCGGGCCCTCACGCGCCCTTGCCGCCCGCAGGGTCTTCTTCGATTCCTGCGACGGCATCTTCACCAACTACAACTGGAGGGAGGAGCACCTGGAGCGCATGCGCGGCCAGGCCGGCGAGCGCCTGGCCGACGTCTACGTGGGCGTGGACGTGTTCGGCCGGGGGAACGTCGTGGGGGGACGGTTTGACACCAACAAGGTGGGCCGCCGCGCCTCCCACGAGGCCCTGTTTGCTGTGGGCCTTGCGTTCCCGTCCCACCTCGAGGGAAAGGCAGGCGGCAGTTACTCTTCCCAGGGTGGGGAGACCGAGGCACCGAGCAACGTCGGTGACCCGGGGCCAAGCTGTGCCCTGACGTCCCGACCTGCAGCCGCGTCTGCGCGCAGGCCGTGCTCTCTGTGGAGGGGCTAACACCTCCTTTCGCCGGCGGCTCGGGCAGAGGACTGAAGCGCAACGGCCCCCAGGGCGGGGACCGCTGGCATAAAAACCAGTGAGGTTTCCCGGCAAGAGGGGTCACGTGGGCAGCGAGAAGAGACGGGGGCGGGGCACCGGCCTTGGGGTCTCTGGGGCTGTGCTGCCCCTTCCCGGCTGCCACGGGGGCATTCTCACTAACGAACTGAGTGTGAGTGAATTCATCCAACAGCTGAAGATGCTCTCCACGCCCCGGGAGCCTCATAACATAATGGGAGGTGCAGTGGGAGAGACAGGTACCCCGTGAGCGCCCCGCCTGTGGACCTCCTGCTCCCTAGGCCAGTGTAGCGCCCACTTCTGGTCGTCTGTGGCACTGCAGGGGGCGAACCTGAAAAGCTGAGTAGGGCTGGGAGGGAGAGGGCAGCTCCAGCCCCTCCTCGGCTTCCGAAGCGCCTAGCGTCCCCCCCACCCCGCCTGCTGTCTCCCCAGTCGCTGGAACTGATCCGGAAGCACGGGCTCTCGGCGGCCCTGTTTGCGCCTGGCTGGGTGTACGAGTGTCTGGAGAAGACGGAGTTCTTCCAGAACCAGGACCGGTGAGTCCCGCCCCGCCCCGCCCTGCCCAGGGGCTGCTGGGGGCGCAGGCTGACGTCTCCGAGACTCCTCAGGCCTTGCTGTCCAGGGGCCGGGTAAGGCATGGCGCGGGGCTCCCCCACCTTGGCTGTTCCCGGAGGGGGGGGTCCCAGAGACCAGACCCTGCCTCATGTCCGTGGCCCAGGGGCTGCAGTTGCTCTGGAAGGGGTATGCGTGAGCCCCGAGTCTGGGGGTGAACCTGGGGCGTTGGGCACCCCCACCCTGGACTTCAGCCGCGGCTGCCACGCGTTTCTCCGCAGGTTCTGGGGTTTGCTGGCGCCCTACCTGCCCACACACAGCATCTGCTGCCTGCCCTTTGTCACTTCCTTCTGCCCGGGCATGGGGACCCGCAGAGTCCGCTATGGCCAGGTGCGCGTGTCCCCACGCCGGGGCGGGGGGGGGGGGCTCCTGACAGGGCCACCTGGTGGCGAAGGGGCTGCCCTGCCCCCACATCATGGGGCCCCCCCCCCACCCCCGGCGTCTGAGGGGATGGCGGTGGTCCCGCTCCTCCTGTGGGGCCTCGCATGCCTCCAACCCCGCTTTTGTTCTCCAGGAGGAGGCCGTGGGGCCCTGGTACCACCCCGGCGCCCAGGAACCCCAGCCCCTGTTCGGAGAGCACAGGCTGGAAGAAGACCCACGGGGCTGGGTGAGGACGCAGGTCTGCCTGGCTGATGCCTGGAGTGGGGGCGGTTCCCTGCTCATCCGGGGGGCGATCCCGCCCGAGGTCGGGCAGGTGGCTGTGAGGTAGGTGCGAGAGCGAGGGAGGATGAACTGGGGGTGGGGGGTCCTCAGCTCCTCCCGTTGTCCCGGCTGACCCGCCTAACTGGGCAGAGGGGCGCAGAGGCCAGAAGACAGCACCGAGCCTCGATGTATTGCTGTGAAAAGCACGTAACACACCTTGCCACGTGGACCGGTTTTGCACGTAGAGTGCAATAGTGTGGACCTTGCACACGGGTGTGCAAACAGTTGCTAGCCCTCCGTCTGCGGGGGCCGTCCACGTCCACTTCCTGTTCCTGTGGTTCTGACGACGGCAGCTTCCTCCTGTGGGCAGGATTTCGGAACCGAGACTTGCGGCCACAAGGGGGTCGGGCCCTGGGGGAAGGCCAGCCCCAGCGCGGGCACATACCTGGGTGGGGTTAGCCGCTGCCGCCCACGCGCCCTTTCCTGGAGGAAGAGCGTAGCCCTGCGGCTCGGAGCCCCCTCTCCCCACCCACCTCGGGGGTTCTCAGCAGTTTCTGCGAGGCCTCATCACGGGACCTTCCTCCTCCAGGTTATTCTCCCTGCAGGTCCCACTGCCGCCCAGGATCTTCCTGTCCCTGGTGTATAAGCTGGAGGGGACGGCCAAGGTCCGAGTCGCTCTGGAGCTCACCACGGGGGACGAGGGCAGCTGTGACGTCGGCGGCATCTCCACGTTGAGTGGTGAGGGGCGGGCTTGGCTCCTGCCAGCCTCCCAGGCCTCCCCCTTGTCGGGACAACTCGGCGGGGAGGAGTCCTGGCCGAGGCCCGGGGTGTGCGGGGCGCCGGTGCTGGCGGTGCTGGGCTGTCCCTGAGGTCCAGCTCTCAGCCAAAACCTCTGGCCCGTGGCCCCCTTGGGGGGGCCTCTCGCCAGCTGGGGCATTGACAGGGAGGACATCCCCTGGGTCAGCGAGAGCCCAGGGGGCCGAGGCGGTGGCCATTCTTGGGCGTCCGTCTGCGTTCCTGCTCGCCTCTCTTCCACCCGGGTCCCCTTCCCCTGAGGCCTCGGCCTGCCCCGGCAGGTCGCAAGTGCCTGTGGCCACAGGGAGTCTGGCCTGCACCCTGGGCCCGAGCCTCTTACTCTGCTGTGGGCTGTCCTCCCTCTCAAGTCCCGTGTCTCCTCCTCCAGCAGACACGAGCACCAGGCACAGTCCCCGACCCCTCCGGGTGCCCCCCCCGAAGCTGGCCAGATGGACGGCCCGCTGTGGCCAGCAGCTCGCTGGGGGCTGGGTCCAGCGGTGAGTCCCTGGCCTTCCTTTTGAGTCCCCCGCAGGGGCAGCCACAATTTGGTGGGGTCATGCAGAGTGAGGGATCCTCTGCTGAGAACCCCCAGACCTGGAGGGCTGGCGGGGGCCGGGACTGGCCGTCCAAGTTGTAGGCAACTCCTGGAAGCAAACTCAGGACACCCCCTGACAGCGGCCATGGTCGTGCCGCAGGTCCAGGGCCCCCACAGAGCCCGGGGCCCACTTGGGGACAGGTCTGCCTTCCTGCTGTGGCTCCGGGCCCCTAGACGCTTGGCTGGGATGACTCGGAGCCAAAGCGGCCCCATGACCGGCCTGTTCGCCTGCAGCTGCTACGAGCTGAGGGTGCGCCGCTGCCTCCTGGGGGACCTGTTCATGAGCTTCAGCCGGCCTCTGGGCAGCCGGGACGAGGAGAGCTTCGTCTGCCGCCTCGGGGAGGTCCAGGTCAGGCGTCTCGGGGACACGCCGCGGGGGCTGGGCTGAGGCATCTGTCCGGTCTCCTCCGGCTCAGGGAGGTGGGTGGGCATGCCGGGCGTGGGGCGCTCAGGGCGGCCCCTCGAGCCCCTGTGGGTTCCCTGCTGAGCCTCCTCTCTCCCGCCAGGTGGTGGGTGCTCACGGCCTGCAGAGCCCTCTGCCCCGGGTGCAGGGCGTCTCCGTGTCTCGGACCTGCTGGCGGCGGGCGGCCCCCGAGGGGGCGGAGCCTCAGCCCGGGCTGCGGCTCAGCTGCACCCTGCGCTGGTCCTGCCCCCTGAGCCTCGTGCGATGCTTCCGGATCCACTGTGGCCGCGGGGCGGACGGCGGCCCTTCCGGCGGGGGACCCCCGGCACCGGAGAGGCCCACGTTCCTGGGCCTGGCTTTCGTCAACCAGTACCGCGTCTTGGACCTGGCGGTGGCAGAGAGAGAGCCTGGCCGGGAGGCCCGCGTGGAGTTCCTGGTGGAGCCGGAGCCCAGGGAGGGGCTCCTGGTGCCGCGGGCCCAGTGGGGCAGGGCGGCCGTGCTCTACTCCTTGCCCAGCCCCTGAGCGGACGGACATTCAGGCCCCGCCCCCCCGCGGAGGCTGCTTCCCCGAGGAGGCCCCGGGTGCTGTGGTTTTGGGGGTGGCGGGGGCGGCGCTGGGAACAGGGGAGCCGAGGAGTCAGTTTGCTGGCTGCTGGTCCCCTGAGGTGCGTGGACGCCCCCGCCTTTGTCCAGTCCCTCTCTGTACTACACGATTCCCAGGGAAGAGTGACAGGGTTTGGGAAAGTGGGGCCCAGAAAATTCCATAAAGGGAACTTCCTGATAGGCTCATGCTGAGAATGGCGACCTTTCATTCGGCAGGTGGAACAATTAGGAACAAACTTAAATGAGTGGGGAGGCTTCGGAGCAGGCCCCAGGGGCATTTGTGAGGGCGCAGGCTGCCGGGGCAGGGGGTGCAGTGACGGGTGGGTGCAGGGTGGTGCCCGGGGGCTGGCCCGCTCCCCCTTTGCAGGGGGCTCCACGGCTGGGCTGGCGCGGGGCAGGAGGAGCCACCACCGTCCAGACGGCCTTGTGTTGTGCTTTCCCTGTTTACTGTCCCCTGGGCTGGGCCCGTGTCCTGATGTGTCTCTCTGGGCTGGTGGCGATGGGGGGAGCTGGTACGGGGCCCCGGCCCCGCCTCCGCGGTGAGCGAGGGTCCAGGCTTGGGGAGCAGCAGCAGGCCCAGGAAGGCCCCGGGGGTAGCCCAGCCCACAGCCTCCTCCCTCTCCCGCTCCGGGGGGCGCTCCTTGAGTGGGTGCTGGCAGGGGGCCTCCTCGTGTGCGAGCAGCACAGGGGCCTCTGCATGGCGCTCCCCCCCCCGCCCCCCAGCACTGTCCTTGCCTCTCTGACTGCTGAGGGTGGCCACAGCTCCTCGCCAGGAGTGGTGGTGAGCTGGGGATGGCTCCTCCAGCCGCACTACCCCCCTGTGGTGGTCCCCTGGGGAGCCACCCCCCTCAACCTGCTTCTCTCCCATGCCTGAGGGGGGGGACAAAGGCCTTGTGTCCCTTGTTCTTGGGACAACTCACCCAGGGCTTCCAGGCTAGTGATGAGGTTACCTCCCGATCCCTACTGTCCTGGACTTCTGCTACAAGGTGGTGGGTGGCGCTAGGAGCCAGGACACTGGTCGCCTCCCAGCTGCCATGGGTCCCAGCTCCGGGTCTGCAGACTGGACTCTGCTGTAGTGAGCAGGGGAGGCCACCAGGTGGCAGTGCAGTTGCCGCTCCGCCTACGGGGCTTCGGGACAAGTGCCGGGTGGGCTGGCAAAGTCAGCCTTGGGGACACACATGGAAGGGCTTCCAGGGCGACACTGGCCTTCACCTGCACCTTCCCCACCTCCCCACGCTCCCACGCTCCTCTTCCACAGCACAACACGGCGACCTCCAGTTCCACGTCTTACCTAGTGGGGAACATCCACTGTTCACGCCCGGCACGGGCGGCCTGGCCAGCTGGGGAGCAGGGGGGAGAGCCGCGGCAGCCCGGCTTCTCAGGGCTCTGACAGCCCCCCACCACGCTCCGAGCCCGTCTCTTGCTGTGATCCGGGGGCTCCTGGCCTCTGGCCCCGGACCTGGGCGCCCAAAGTGGACAACACAGCTGGAACTTATTTCACGAAGGCCCCTCCCCCTCCCTTTAAATTGCTGGTCCCGGGATATTTTATGCGGAGGAGGGAGAATTTATAGTGGCAATTATTTCCTCATAGTCTGGTGAGCAAGCAATTAGAAGGGGGCTCAGCAGAGCACGGCGCGGCGGAGGCACCCCACCCTGACCCCCAGGAGCGCGGTCCCCAGTCCCACTCCGCCGCCAGTCAAGGCCGGTGTGCGGCGGAATCAATACGCCGGCGTTTCAGCCCGTGGTCCCGCCCCACCCCGCAGGTGTGATCGCGCTGAAATAAATGGCCCGGCCCTGTGAAAATGAACCGAAGTCTGAGACCTGGCTGTGGCCCGCTCGGCGGGTATCGAGTCTGGCCCCATCCCAGCCTCCGAGCCCGAGGCCTTTAAGCTCTTAGTGGGCAGCAGTGAGCCCCTAGTGGGCAGCCTGCTGCTTCCCCGCCCGGTTCTCCCTCCTCTTCCAGGGCAGCGGGAGGGTGGCCACGCTCCTCCACGCCAGCCTTCCGGGAACGGGGGAACGGGGCTCCCCAGTGTCCGGAGCAGGAGGCTCGCCTCCAAGCAGCTCCTCGGACCACAGCTTGGCGGTCAGACCTGCGGAGCTGGTGCTGCGGGCCGGGTGGTCCCCCTCCTCCTGCAGCACACCGACAGTGGCCCCCGCTGCCACCCACTCCCGGGTCACCCAGCGCTGAGGCCAGGCGGGGCTGTGGGAGCACGGGCCCCGCTCAGGCACTCGGGCGGGGCCTGGCCGGGGCGGGAGAGGATGGAGTGTTCGAACCTCTCCCAGGACCCCCTCTGGTGCCCTCCGCCCTCTGTGTGCCTGGGGGGGGCTGCCAAATCAGAGCGCTGTCCTGGTTTGAAGAAAGAAATCTTTATTAATAATCTTAATAATAATACTGTCGATTTGAATGGTCACACCTGGGAAGCATACAGGATGGTAAGAAAGGAGGCCGGAGCCTGGCTGCAGTCCTGGGGGCTGGGGCGGGGCTGGGGGGGGGCGTGGCTGCTGTGAGAAAAGGGCCCAGCGGCGGGGTCTGGACGGGGCGGCGTGGGCGGGCTCTGTACACCGGACATAGAAAAGGAGATCGCTTCAGGAGCTGATGCAGAGTACAAAGTGAGGTGTCGGCCTTGCCTGTGTAGGTTTCATGAGACAGTAGTGGAGCCATGTTGGGAACCTGGGTTTTTCTGATTTTTTCTTTTTTGCTGCTGTCCCGACTCCAGTGACCTGCCTGGCCAGGGGCTCTTCCCTGTCACCTGCCGGCCACAGCCCCTTCCCCAAGGCTGCCCCACTCTCCCCGCTCTGGCCTGGCCTCCAGGCCCCCAGGCTGTGACTCCCAACCCCGCAGTGCAGCGGGCACTGGGCTGTCCCCTGGCGCCCTCCCTCGCAGGCCTGGGCTCTCTGCAGGGTGGCAGCGGGGAGGGCTCCTCCCAGCGGGTCCCCTGAGGTCAGCTGTCCCTCCCGCAGCCCAGGCTCAGGGCGTCCTCCAGAAAGGGAACCGGAAACAGCCCGTCAGGGAGCAAGTCCTCGGCCTCAAGTCCTTCACCGTCTCACGTCCTCAGGCCCAGGAGTCAGTCCTGGCTGGGTAGCCCCGGGGCCCCCTCACTCGGAGGGAGGGGTGCCCAGGGGCCCCATAGTTCTGGAACCACTTCAGCCCTTGGTGTTGGGGTCGGGCCCCGGGGCTGCTGGCTGCACAGTCTCAGTGGCCCTCGAAGCCTTCCCCAGGTGTGCAGGACACGGGCGTCGGAGGCGTGGCGTGAGGGTAGCTGGGGCCCAGAGAGCACGGCACAGGGTGACTGGGCGGGGCCGAAGCCCGAGCCCCGGGAATGGAAAGCTGCCCCCCTCCCCGTGCCCGCCCCGGCCCAGCTGCCCTCTCCACTGGCACAGTTGGCAACGAAGATCCAGTCCTGCCGGCCCCTCCTCCTCGGGCCCCGCACTGCCTCGGGCGTGGGGGCCGGGAAAGGAAGACTGGAGAGAAAACGGAGGCCCCTCCCTCTGGCTCGCCCCCTGCCCTCGCCGGGAGGGGCGCGGCGGCGGCGGCTCGCGGCTGGGCGGCGGGCTCCTCACTGCGGTTCCCCGGGCACGTGAGACCTGGAGGTGGTGGATGCATCTCGGTTTGGTTGGTTTTTGTGTTGCTTGGATCTTAACATCTTTTTTTGTTTGGTTTTTTGTTTTGTGATTTTTTTTGTGTGTTTTTTTGTTTTTGCCCTTCGTGGTCCGAGAAGGAGACGGCAGAAGCTCTCACTACAACAGAAACAGAGAGGAGCGTGCAGTTTCCAGGAAGCCGCCGCGGGCGAGGGGGGTGGGGACGCGCCCTGCAGTCCCAGCACCCCCCGCGCCGGCCCCCCACCCCGCTCTCGGGACCCGTCATCTCGCGGGAGCTGCCGTTAGAGGGGACGTGTGTCCTCCGTTCCGGGACAGAGGGTGGCGGGAACAGAGGAGCCACAGGGCACCTGGTGGCAGACAGGCTCTGGCAGGTGGGGGGTGGAGGTCAGGACGGGGCGCAGTGAGGTGGCTGAGAAGGTGACGCTCTGGGCGGTGGGCGGTGTGGGGCGGGCGCCCTGGGCGGACCCGCCCACCCCACCGGCCTGGAGCCAGTGCCCTGGCCAGCAGGTACCTGCACCTAGCTGGCTGCCGGCCTCTGGAAGCCCAGCTCCGGCACCCTTGGTAGCCCGCTCGGGCTTCTCGGCCCGTGCCGCCGCTCCCTGTAGCAGTCCCTGTAAGGTGCTGGTGGCCAAGGCCTGGTCTGCCTGCACGGACCCCTCCAGAAGCTCCCTCGGCTGCAGCCCCCCAGCCAGCGCCTCCTCCCAGAGCCCCTCCGCCCTGGAAGCGTGTGAGCTCCTGGGGGCGGAGCTAAGCTCGGCGGCGCCCCCTAGTGAGCCGGTGACACACGGTACTGCCCCATCCTCCGGGTCGGGGGGGTGAAGAGGGGCCTCACCCTACTTCTGACCTGCCCGCCGGCCAGGCCTCCTCCCCGAGACAGACCTCAGCCCAGAGGCACGTCTGAGCTCCGGAGGGGAAGGAGGTGTCGTGGCCCCCGCACACAGGCCAGGGCCAGGCCGGCCGGGACCCCGCCTCAGGGGGCCCTGGGTGGTGGGGCGCAGCGGGGGCACAGATGTCAGGCCGCTGCGCCGCCTGGTGGGGACAGTTCTCCCTGCACTTTGCTTTCTCACAGCAGAGCCTGGTGTGGCTCCTGCAGACCAACAGATATCAACAACGCTTAATCAGCAATGCCAGTTTCAGCTGGACTGCAAAACAGCGCTGACGCCGCCCCTGTGACTAGTCCTGGGACGGGATGACCCCGCCAACGGCGGTGGGTGGGAGCCCCGGGCTCCCAGCACCCTGGGGAGGCCGGCTGGGATGGCTTCCCGGGCCAGCCAGGCTGCTTCTGTGGCTCTGCAGACCCCAGGGACCGAGAGTGGGCCACCCTCGTGGGTGCGGCTCTATTGCTAGCTCTTGGGGAGGGTCCTCTGCCCGGCCTAGCCCCTGCCCCTAGGTGCATGCCGAACCTGAAATGGCTTAGGGGGTGGGGCAGGCACAGCGTCAACAAAGCCAAAATGGGGACCCAGGTTTCAGACACACAGGGGTAACCAGGGTCAGAGACACACGCGCCCGCGGGGGCGCCCAGCTGGCTGGAGGTACAGCCTAGGGACTTTGGCGGCGCCCAGGTCGGCGGCGCCCTGCGCCCCTGGCGGCTGCGCCTGGCTTTGGACTGCTGGGTCGGGTGTGTGCTAGACAGTCTGAATGCTGTTAGGGGCCGGGCCTCTTGCTAGTAGGGGGTGAAGCGGCTGTGCCCTCCTCGGCAGAGGCTAGCCTGCAACGTCAAAGATGAAAAACAGCCAATCAGTACCGCCTTGGGGCTTGGTAGGGGGAAAAAGCAAAAAGAAAAATAAGGAAAACCAAAAAGAGAAACAGCCAACTCCTGTGGTTCTCTGCCCCGCTCAGGGTTTGCCGCGGGGCGGATGGGTGCGGTGGGCGTGCCCACAGGAGGGGCCCTGGGCCTACTTCTGAGGTCCTGCTGGGCTCGGGGCTGGGGGCTGGGGTCACCCTGCTTCTGGGGCCTCTCTCGGCTCAGGCCTGGCCCGTCTCTGCCCCTTCCGTCTTCCTCTGGGGAGGGGGGAGCGAGGGACCTGCCTCCTCGGTGCCCCCGGGGCTGCTGTGGGGCGGGGCTGAGCGCCTCCGGTCACAGAGGTTCCCCCGGCCCTGGCTCCATCGGGAGAGGCTGTGCCTGCCCGCCCTGCTCTGGGAGCTTTCTGTGGCCGCCGGTCCACTCCTCTGTCCCTTGGGGGGCGGGACAACTCTTGGGCATCCTTGCTTCCCCTCCGGCCCTGGGTCAGGGAGGCCCTGGAGGGAACCTCTCACCCCACCCACCGGCTTTGCCAGAAAAGGCAAGAGAACGGCTGGCACCGGAGAAGAAAAGTCGGGGGGGGGGCAGATAGTAAATCTTAAATATAATGAAGAAAACATATGAGGGGACGCTCCGTGCACTAAAGCAAGCCTTCCGCTAGCAGCTGCGTGGGGGGCGGAGCTGGTCCCGGGGCCATGGGGCCCGCAAGCCACATGCCGTAGGTTTGGGGCCTCCATCTCGGGGGGTGCTGTGGGTCCCCGAGAGGCCTGCTCCCCGTGGCTACCAGCGGTTACCACGGGCCGCTTGGGATATCTGAGGCGTGTTAAAAATCAAGAAAGACAACACAAAAATTAGGAGAGAGGAAGCAAAATCAAAGGAGATGGGGAGAAATCCTTATTGGCTTAGAATCTCTTCCTTGCCTACCCCCCGCCCCCCAAACCGTTTTCATCTTTGATGCTGGGTGTGAAGCTAGCTACAGATGGATGGGAACGGCCCCTGGGGGCGGGGGCAGGGGGGCACGGGAGGCAGACTGCGGGGTGCAGAGCGAGCTGGGCTGTATGTGCTGACAGCTGGCCGTACACACACACACACAGACACGCCGGGGCACCAGGGGGTCCCCACGGCTCCCCGAGCCCACCGAGGAGTCCAGGAGAGCAGCCCCACCTCCGGGAGCCGGAGCGTGGGTGACAGACACAGGCGGCCCCCCTCCCCCACCCCCATACAGGAAGAGGCACAGTCGGGGGTGACAGGACACAGAGGGGCCGCGGCACAGACACAACCACGAGGGGGGGGGTGCCCTGCCTGCCCCGGGAGCTCTGCCAGGATGGTTCTGTGGGTTTTCCCGGCGGGCAGCGAGGGCTCGGGCGGGCCGCAGGGACCGGCTCGGAAAGCCGAGTCCTTCCAGGGTGCCGCCCAGGGGATCAGACGGCGTCGCCGGGCAGCTGACCGTCCGTCCGCCCGTCTGTCCGGGAAGACCTGCCTCCTTCTAACTCCACGAGGACACACGGGGGCGAGTCCCGCCCCCCGCCCCCCAGCTCAAATCCAGGCCTTGGTCCCGCCAGCCATCGGTCTGAGGTCGGGGTGGTCCTCCTGAGGGCCTGCCCGCCCACCCCGGCCACAGCGCGGCGCCCTCCTGGTCCTGGCGGGGCCAAAGGCCAGGCCACCCGGCCTCCTTACCATGGTTCCGATGCTGTAGGTCGCCGCGGGGCCGAGGGTGTGGTGGTAGGGGTCGGCAGCCGCGTAGACTCGGCCGTAACTGGGGGGACACGGGGACGGGGGCGGGGCGAAGGGGCAGGTGAGGGTGGCAGCAGGCCCCCCACCTCCTCCCAGACCTTTCCGAGCTCCCTCCCTCGAGGCCCCGCCCCCGCACACCCCTGGCTGCCCTTCCCGCCCGTTTGGAAGGGAGAGTCTCTGGGACGCAGCTGGCCACCCTCTTACCACATCCCGTGTGCTGACCTGATGGGGGAGGGGGGGACACCTGTTCTCCCAGGTGCCACGTGGGGGGAAAAGGTCCTCACAGAGCTCATCTGGGGGCGAAACCCTGATCCCCAGAAAGAACGGGGCAGAGCCCGGGAAGGGGTTCAGATCCAGGGCACGTGCGGGGCGGCAGGGACTTCGATGCCGAGGGGGCGGCTGGCCCTGTGTCCCTGGGATGGCCTTCTCACCCGGGTTATTGTGCGTGTGAAACACCAGCTTCTGAGGGGCTGGGGCTGGGCTGTGGGGCCCGCTTTGCTCCTGACAAACCCTGGGCCCCCGAGGCTGTGTCCAAGGTGTGGGTCCGGGAGGGGGCCTGCAGCCGGGAGGGGGTGCCCGGCGTCCCCAGGCCAGAGCCAGCCCGTGGACAGGAGCAGCCGCTGCCCCCCGGGAAGTGCTCACTGTGTGCCAGCGCCCGGGCCCACAGGCCACGTGCCCACAGGGCGAGGGGCAGGCCGGGCCGCTCCCGGGGGACCCCCAGGGCCTGACCACGAAACACACGCTGCTCTCCGGTGTCACCGGGGCCACCCTTCCCAGCCTTCTCACACCCCTGCGAGGGGGCCGGTGGGCACCAGGAGCCCTTCCTCTTCGGTGCCCGGGGGAGGGGGGGTCTCAGACCCGGGGGGAGGGGCTGTCTGCTGCCTGAGAACTGGGGGGGGCCACAGCCTTCCCAGCATGCAAGCAGGAAGTGACTACAGAAGCTGGGGGGCCTGCTGTTTTGGGGTCTCCAGGCCCATGCGGACCTGCTCTCCTCTGTCCAGACCCTGCACCCTCCAGGAGGAGGCGGCCCCAGGTCTCAGGCCCCCTGTCCCTCACTCCCCTGCCCCGCCCGCTGTCCCCACGTGGTACCTGTCACTGTAGGCGGCTGCCGCCGCGGCGGCAGGTTGAGCATATCTGTAGGCGGCGTAGCCCCCCTGCAGGGTGAGGGTGGGGAGAGAGGCACAGGGGCTTTAGTAGGGCGGACACAGCCTCTGAACCCGCCCCCGCAGCCCCGGGGATGTGGGGGAGCCACGCACTGCCCCATCACACGGCGTTTTGCAAAATGGGCGGGGGGCGGGGGCGTGCCTCCGGCTCATGGGGCTGCTGGGAGACCCCTCACTACTCCCAGGGCGAGCTCGGATGACCCAGCTCTGGCCGTGTGGGGTCCCCAGGGGCGCAGTGCTGCCCCCCCAACCCCCCCCACCAATTCTGAGGACAGGAGTTGGGGGATCGCTGGGGAAACAGCCGTGCCCGGCGCCCCCCCCCCCCCCGCCCCCGGGGGCTGCACTTACGTAAATCTCAGCACCATAAAAGCCGTCCTGATACACGACCCTGGAAGCAAACGGACAAGAAAGTGGTGGGAACGCCGGAGAGGTGGGGTAGGCCGGCTCCGGCGTCTGCTGAGGAGGGAGGGGGCAGGGTGCCGGCCCTGCCCACGGGACTGGCATTTTAACAAGCGTTTGCTCCAGCGCCCTGTTTTGGTATAACAATAGAGTAACACCCTTGCCGGTCAGCTCCTTTCTCCCACGAACCCAGGGGCCCTTCTTGCTTCCCTCCCCCCGCTCCACCCCAGGCCGCTGTCCTCCCTGTCCGAGGAGGACGCAGCCCCAGGGAAATGGTCCAGCGGGGGCTGGACTTAGAGCAGGCCCTCGCTGCACCCCAGGGCCAACCAGGGTCCCGTGAAAGCACCCGGCTGGGGCTCTAAATGTCCCCCACATGCCAGCGGCCTTTGGTTCCCCGTGGCAGAGTGGGGGTACTGCAGTGCCAAGGGGCGGGGGTTCCCAGAGGCCCCCGCAGTTCTGGAAAGGCTGCCCGAGCCCTCCGGCTGTCCCAGGGCCCCCACCCCACACTGCCCTGGGCCTCCTCCATGCCTTCCTCCCCGAGCGCCCCCCGTACTCACGCTCCGTAAGTTGGGATGGGGGGCGGGGGCGGCGCAGCCCGAAACGTGTTGTACACGGCCCGGCCCCGGCCGCGTAGGTGTGCGCCCCTGTAGGCAACGGCCGTGCCTGTGGTGGGGTAGGGGAACCCCGTCACTGCAGGAAAGGGGGCGAGAGAGGGGACAGGGTGAGTGCGGGCTGGACAGCCCAGCCTGTGAGCAGCCACGCCCACCGGCCCCGCCCCTGCTAGACCACAGCCACACCGCCTGTCCACGCCCCATGCGCGGCCACGCCCCATGCGCGGCCACGCCCCTGCGCGGCCAGGCCACGCCCCCGATCGCTCCCGGTTCCACCACCCCAGCCTTTACCTGCATAGAATTCAGGCCCGTAGACGGCGCCTACCACGGGGTTGAGCTTCCAGCCTAGAACAGAAGCAAAGGTTCCAGTCACCGTCTTTCCCCTCCTCTCCCACTGCACAGGACACCTGTACACCCGGGAGCCCCCTCTCCCTGGGGGCAGGACCCCTCGCCTCCGCGGTCTGAGTGGGTGCAGCTTCCCGGGGACCTAATCGCAGGGACCGAGCCGCTCCCCGCCCACCCGCCTGGGTGTCTTCTCGGTTCTTTCCACACCGTGGCCCTCCCCAGCCTGCCCTGGGCCTCCCACGCCTGGGGGCACCAGTCCCGGTGTGCTGGGGCTCCCTGGGGTCCCTGGGGTCTGTGGGCGGGAATGACGGAGGGAAAGTGGGGCACGTTATGTAGATGCGGGCGTTCCCCCCGCTGGGACGAGGCGTTCTGGAAGCTTGACAGAACCCAGTCGAGGGAGGGCCGTGAGGGAGTGCGGTCTTCTGCGGGCTCCCGGCCGCCTCCCCGGAGGGTCAGAGGTTGTCGAGCCGGAGCTCCGCTTCCGCCTGGAGGCCCCTCCCACTTGCTGCCCCACAGCCTGTGTCGTGTCCTGGGAACAGCTCCCGAGGGGCCCTCGTCCCAGTGCCGAGTCCTCTTTCGCGCTCCCACTGTGTCTGTCCCCAGAGCAGCCGGTGGGAGGCGCCTGGGGCGGAAGGGCCTCGGATTCCGATTACAGGACAGCACGTCCTGGGCACGCTCCCTCGTGCCGCTGGATCCGAGCCCACGCACTGCGGTAGGCGTCCGCCCTCCCACTGCACAGACAGGGAAGTGGAGGCTCGGAGTGGCCGCAGCCTCGCGCCACAGAGCTGGCACATGGCGGGGCCAGACCCCAGATCCCGGCCACTCCCTCTCTCCAGGCTGGCTGCTCCCGGCCAGCCTCCCTGCCCACTGGGGGCCGCGGTGCACAGTCCGAGGCCTCCGGGGTGGACCCCTGCTGGCTTTGGGTGGGCCCTGGCCCCAAGCATCCAGACAGGGTGCCCCCTCCCCATACTCTCCGCGGCCTGCCCTTCGTCACCGGCCCAGGACGCCACGGCTGGGGTCAGAAACCCCAAACGTCAGGAAAGGAGGGGAGAAACGCCCCACCTCCTGGGACGACCTCCAGTCGCCCCTGTGAGAAGCCTCGGGCCGGGTCCGGGGGGCAGCGACCCAAGCCCACCTCCCCCGGCGGCTCTCCAGCTCCACTCTCAGAGGTCCGGCTGCCGCCTCCCACGGCCCGGCACCTCCACCCGCCAATGTCGGGGTCCTGGGGGCCTCTGTCTGTCCCTGCACCTGTCCATCTCGGCCCACTGCAACTGTCAGGGCCCCCAGATCGGAGGCAGCCTGAGACGACCCCCCCCCCCCCGGGTGGTCCCTGCTTTCTTCTGGGAATAGTAACACCAGGTCAGACTGGGGGAGTTTATCCCCTCTGGTGCGTTTCCCTCGACTCCTCCCGGCTGCCTGAGCTCGGCACCAGCCGTTTGGTCTTCGAGGAGGATGGGCCCCGGCTGCTCACCGTCAGGTAGGCAGAGTGGCCGCTTGGCTGACACACACGCGACGAGCCAGCGGGACCTCCTCTGGTGGCCTCAACCTCTCGGTGTTTCCGAGACCCCGGGGGGACTGTCCCTGCCTTCGCCATCACAATCGCTACATACAAAGCGCCTCTGGCCCGGGCCCTCCCTTAGTGCTTGGGAATGAGAAACAATCCAGGAAGCGGCCACCACCCCACTGTGCCTGAAGCCCGTCCAAGGGGCCTCTGGGTGCCCTGCGCGCTCAGGAGAGCCCGGGAGTCTCGCCAGCTGGGTGCCTGGGGGTGGGCCGCCCCAGCTTTCCCGCTGGCCGACGTGGCTGCTTCTGACAGGGGGAGCCGGGCCCCGGGGGGTGGGCACTGAGCATCCGGGGAGGTCAGCCTCCAGCAGCCCCGCCCCCGCCCAGGCCTCTGTCAGCGCCTGCAGCCTCCCCGGGGTCCCGGGGCCCTTACCTACCGTTGGTGTAGGGGTTCGCAGTCTTCTTGTTGGTCATGACCCGGGCTGTGGCGTTGTTGACCTGCCCAGAGAGAGGGAGCGGGAGGGTGAGGGGAGCCTCAGGCCCCGGGGGGGCCGTGGGCCACCCCAGTCCTGCCCTGCACTTCTCCACGGCCCCCTCGGAGGGGGTGGCTGGGGGTTGGGAGGGAGGGCCTGGGACACTCAGGCGGAGGCACAGGACAGCCCCCGCCCCCCGCCCGGCCTCCCCTCCCAGCTTCCCCTCCCGGCCGTGCAGGAAGCCTTGGCCGTCACTGCACCCAGCACGGGCTGCCGCCTGGCCTGGCCCCGGACCCGGGCCCTCGGTCAGGCGCTACGTCCAGACTCCCTGGCTCCTGACCTTCACGTGGCAGTGCCACAAACCAAGCCCCAGCCTCTCTCCGGTAACCCAAGGGCACTGGAGAAGCCGCTGGCGGCCGCTCCTCTGAGTGCTCTCGGGCGGCCACAAGAACCGCCCCCAAGACCATCTCCAGCCAGGGTGGCTGTCGGCGGAGGCCCCCTAGCTGCAGGCGCCGCACCGTCAGCCCATCTGCCCTATCCCGGAGACCAGAGCTTTCTGAGGGGCCCCTGTGCCCCTGGGGACAGGCCGGTGAGGGGGGACAGGCGGGGGCCATGGGGGTGGGTCCTACTCTCCAGACCGCTGAGCCCGGGGGACTGGACGGGGTGGCAGGACGGAGGAGACCTCTGCAGAAGGAAGCAGGAGCGGGGTGGGGGGTGGAAGAAGAGGAGGGGCCCAGTGTCAGCCCCCACAGCCTTAGGCCACCTCCTTGGGTGCCAGGGGGTGCTGGGCTGGAGCCTGGCCAAGGTCAGTGCCTCCAGTACTTCCCCTTTTGGGGACCCTCCCCTTGACCTCTCCCTGCCCTTCCTGCGGGCTGGGCCAGCTGCCGCCCCTGCCCTCTGAACCACCCCTGGCTGCCCCGCTGTGGGGGAGCCCAGCTCCCAGACACCCGGGGCCACAGCCCTGGGGGGGGGCAGGGAGGAGGCGGGGGTGTCGGGGGCCTTGCCCCCTCTTCCCACTGCTCCCCTGGCTGAGTCCCATTCTAGGCCGCGGCCACTGCCTGCGGGCCCTGCGGGGGCGGGGCGGAGGGAGAGCTGCAGACTGGCAGCGTCGGGGGGCGGGGAGGGGCACTGGGTGACCAACAGCAGGCCAGCGAGGGCTGGCCATGGTCCTTGGAGCTGCCAGGCCTCACACACACGATTTCTGGGGTCCTCCCAGTGTCTGTCTGCTCCCCTAGTTGTGGGGTTCTCTTTTGGGAAGGAGAGGAGGCAGGGCCGGGGTGAGGGGGGCGGTCCTGGGGTGGGCCCGAAATGTAGACCCACAAGGTGGCGCGGGACGGGCTGGGGCTCCGGCCTCCGTGCGGCCCCGCCCGGCCCCCGCCCGGCCCCTGTCCCAGGGACCCCGGCCTGGCGCTCACGGGGCAGCAGGGGGCCCGGGGTGGGGACCGGGTGGCGGGCGCTCTGCCCCGGCACACTTATCTGAGCACCTCAATTTTCCGTCCCTCTACGATCGTCCCATTCAGCTTCTCCCGGGCTCGGTCAGCATCTGAGCTAGTTTCAAAAGTTACAAACCCAAAGCCCTGTGAGCAGAGAGGGACAGACACGGAGAGAAAGACACAGGATGAGAAAAAGGAAAAAAAGGAGGCGTGGGTGGGGGGGGCGGGGGGAGGGGGAGAAGGGAGGAGAGAGAGAGGGGGGTGGGGGGTCGAGTCAGCGGAGTTGGAGGAGAGACTCAGGCAGCCTGGAGGTCTGTCCCGGGGCCACCAGGGGGCGCCCAGGAGGGGCGCGGCCCAGCCGGGCTGAGCTCACCAGCCGGCCTCTCCAAAGGGGGACAGGCCAAAGCTACAGGAGACACTGGCCCTGCCCGGGTCCAGGGCCGTCGCCCTCACCCAAGGCTGGGTCAGAGGACCTGAGGGGGGGCAGCCTGGATGGGGGGGGCGCAGTGTCTTCCAGAGCAGAGAGCAGGGCCCATCTCAGCTGGGGCGCCTTCCCGCCCGCCGGCCCGCCCCGCAGCCCCACCCCCGGCGGCAGGGCTGACCCCCAGGCAGGCCCCCAAGGAAGGAGGAGGAGGAGGAGCCGGGCCGTCCCGGTCCCAGTGCACACAGAGAGGTCCTGGCAGCTCAGAGAGAAGGAGGCGTCAGCGGCAGCAGCAACGACAACACAGACAGTGGGGTGGGGGTGGGGGCGGAGGAGGGGAGTACAAGCACCCGTGTCGCTCAGGGGTCCTCGGGCGCGAAGCTCTCCAGGAAGGAAACGCACATGTCACACGTTAGCCTGGCGGGACCTACAGCCGGCGCTGTAATGGTGGCGGCCTCTGGGCGGCACCCACCTTGGAGCCCCGCTCGTTAAAAATGATCTCCACGTCTAAAATTTTTCCGAATTGCTGCGGAGAGAGAGAGGGGTGGGGGGACAGGAGACGGCGGCGTGTTAAGGCAGCCTGCGCCCCGGGAGACCCCTCGCCCGGGTGGGGCCTGGCCCTCCGTCCCCAGCCCCTCCACCCAGGCAGGGACAGGGGCACAGGCTCTCCCTCCACGCAGCGTGAGGGGACGGGCACCCTCCCCACCTCCTTGCGCAGAGAGCTGTCCCTGCCAGGGTGCTGGGGCCCTGCCACAGGCTGCTGACGGGTGCCCCAATTCACACTACCAGGGAAAGTCCTTCCCACCAGGTGGGTGCTGGGGGCAGCAGGAGCCCCCCGAAGAGAAAGCCCCCAGAAGGCCTCCGTGGGTCGGTGGCCTGTGATGGGTGGGGCTGGACCCCAGGCGCCCCAGCCTGAGCAGGGCGCCCTGGCACCGAGCTCCACCTCCCGCCCTGACGCTGGCCAGGGACACACACGGGGTGGCCCTGTCCTTCTCACCAGCTTGCAAGACTGACAGCCTGTGACCAGGTCCCCAAAATGCCAGTGAGCTCCTGAGGGGCCTGTCCCGGGGCCTCCAGAGCATACACAGGTGGGGCTCCCCTTCACCCCGAAATATGCCGGAGGTGGGTGTCACAGGGCAGCAAGGTGACGTGCAGCCAGCCGGCAGTGCCGCCCCCACCCTGGTGGACGGGGGGGGGGCCGGGCGGGGCTTGGCGGACAGGCACCGCGTAGGTGCCGGGTGGGGCGATGGGTCCCGTGGGGCCAGTGAGGCTGCGCCACCCGGCGGCTGTCAGCGGAGCCCCAGGCCGCAGGGGTGCAGGGCCGCGATGATTCTAAATCCTGCCAGCTCCTCGCCGAGTGAGTCTTACCCCAAATCCACAGAGTCCCCCGAGGAGGGGAGTGGATATCCGGGGGGAGGTCAGCTGTGGGTGCTGGGCCTGTCCCTGACAAACCCACGGGAGGTGGGGGTGGCGTGGGGGGGGCCCGGGCCCGCCTTGCTCGTGGCAGAGGTTGGGGGGACAGTTCCGAGTGACGGAGGGCGGGCAGCGGTCAACACGGGCCGGCACGCGTGTCCTCCGTGGGGGGCGGTGGGGACTGAGGGGCTGCCCTGCTTGGGGCCGCACACCTGGCTGCTGCCCGCCCGCCTGCCTACACCGCAGCCCAGCACCCAGTGGGCGTCGGCGCCCGCTGGGTGGTCAGTCAAGTGACAGGATAAATAGATCGCAGGACTACGGCGGTCCCTGCCCCCTGCCTCTCACAGAGCCCGCTGAGGCCGTGTGGCACGGGACCTGGGGACAGGCCCGAGGAACGGTGGGGGGGGGGGCGCACACGCTGTCTGGCACTTGTCCCGCCCACCGTGTGTTCTCCGGGAGCCCCCACACTGGCCCAGGTAGGCTGAGTGGCAGCGGCGGGGGGCGGGGACTGGACGGCCGCTGGGCGGGGCAGGGGGCGGGGACTGGGAGGCTGCTGGGCGGGGCAGGGGGCGGGGCCGCCCGTCCAGGCGCCCTCTGAGGAGCAGAGGGCCTGGGCCCCTCGCAGCGGACTAGTAACCCGACAGGCACTGGCCTTGGCCTCTCTGTGGAGCCTGAGGACAGGTGGGCGGATGTCGGAGGGGGCTGCGGGGCTGGCGCCCGGCTACCGTGCCCCGAATCCCTCCCTCCCGCCCCACCCTGTGGACTCAGGCCGGAGCTGGCTGGACCAGGAGGCGGGAGGCGGCGGGGGCTGGAAACCCAGGGGGGCCACTGCCCCCGCCGGGACTGGGAGCGGGGGCCACGCACACGCACACTCACCCCGAACATTTGCCGCAGGTCGGGGTCCCTGAACCGGAAGGGGATGTTGGAGACGTGAAGCCTCTTGGGCTGCTGCTTCTCTGTGGGGTCGGAGGGGTGGAGGGGCTGGCTGTCCGTCTGTGCCGCCTCGTCTGTCTGCTGTGGGGAGATGGCCTGCATGTGAGGGGCCCCCTCGGCTCCCACCCTGTGGAGGGGGTGTCTGCAGACCAGGCCCTCCCAGCCCCTCGGACCCGCCTCTCTCCAGGGGCAGGTCTGCCACGGTTGCGTCTGGGCAAGCAGCACGCAGCTCAGCAGCGCCACCTGCAGGCTCTGCCCGAGCTGTGCCCGGGGAAACCACCGCAGGCCCAGGCCTCCCCGGCCTGCTGTGTCCCGGCTCCTCGGAGGGGCCCGGGTCTGACCACCCTCCCTCGGCTCCGTGGACTGTCTGGCTCTCGAGGTCCCGGGTTTGCCCTCTTCCCCGACAGGGGCCCTTCTGGCGTCCAAGGCCTGATGAGAAAGTGGCCGTTCCCGAATGCGCCGCCGGGCACGCACTCCTGCAGGGGCGCTGCCCCCACCCCACGGTCATGGAGCAGGGGGGGGGGGCTGCCTTGCACTCTAGCCCCGCGCTGCTGCTGGGCACTTCGGGGACCACGCCCTCCTAAGGTGCAGGGTGACCGAGTTCCGTCCTTTTTAGTGGGTCCCCATCTTGCACCCGAACACGGTTTCAACAGAGGGGGGCTCCAGGAGGCGCGGGTGCCGGGAAGCCAGGCTGCTGCTAGGTGGGCCCCGCCCTCAGCGGCTCCCGGTGAGGACGGGGCTGGGGGGAGGCCCCGAGGTGGCGAGGGGCCGGGGCGGTGAGCCGGCGGCCCGCGGCCTGGGGTCCGTCCCTGCCGAATCCCGGCGCTGCAGGTCGTCAGCAGGTGCTCCGTCTGCGCCGAGTGGCTGCTGACCGAGGTGTCCCAACAGCTCAACATGATGGGTGGCCAGGGCCGGAGGCCATCTGTGTGCCACTCACTCACAGGGCCGACCTGCCGACGGCCAGCTGACGGTGCACCCTCTGGTGCGGCCCTCTGGCGAGGCGGGGCGGAGCCTCGGTGTCCAGGAGCTGTCCTCAGAGGCGACAGGTAGGGCCGTGGCCAGGCACCCAGTTCTCTGCCGAGGAGCTCCTCGGCCCCCAGGTTCCCCCGGTGGGCGGCAAGCGTGGCCCAGTGAGGACAACGAGATGACGACGTCACGTTTATTCCCCTTCCCTTTCCTGTCTCCATTCTGGCTCCTCTCCCGGGGTCCTCCTGGGATTGCGTCCCCAGCGCACTGCTCAGACTTGCCCCCTGGTTGCGGGGTCGGCGTCCAGGCCAGGACGCCCGCAGAGGGCGTGGGGGCCCTGGCTGCAGTGAGGCCACGCAGAGCTTGTCTGCCGTCTGGAGAGAGCACAGGAGAAGGGCAGGTCCTCAGGCCCGTGCCGGAACTTGCACGAGGGGGTGGCCGTGGTCACCCGTGTGTCCTGAGGAGCAGCGGCGGCGGGCTGGCAGCAAGAGGCGGGAGGCCGCTCTCGGGTGGGCGTCTGTCCCTGGCACCCAGGGGAGTGCTGACCAGTACGAGCCCAGCCCCCTTGGGGCAGGACAGCAGAGGCCACTGTGCTCGAGGCTGAGGAGGTGGAGTCCGAGGGGCAGAGGCTGGCCCAGGGCCACCCGGTGGAGCCCTGCTCTGGACTCCTGCGCGGCTGTCCCGAGAGGCCATCCTTCCCTGTGCTCAGCCGAGAGGCTCTGTTCAGGCTCCAGGGCGGCAGGTGCCGCAGGCGAGGGCGGCAGAGAAAGACCGAGGACTTGTGGGAGAGGCCGGGAGGGCTCCGGGAGCTTCCTGTCCACGTGCCTCCTAGACTCTGCGTTCCCGGGTGGAGGAGCGAGTGCTCATCGTGGGGTTGAAGTCGCCCCTTCCAGGCCCGTGTCCCCCGGGCGGCCACCCTGGGCAGCAGCCCCAGTGCCCACACGTGCGTGTCCTCGGAGCCCTCTGTCGGGCTGTGGGAGGGACGTGTGCCCGGGGTGGGCTGCTGGGGACCCAGGCCCTGTTGTGCAGGGGTCAGCAAGGGCCGCTGCATGGGGCCGTCAGAGGGGGGGGCCCTCCCCCAGCCCACCTCCACCCCCAGGTCCCCTGCCGTCCTCCTGCCTGGGTGCTGGTCTTCCTTGCAGAGGGCAAGCCTGCGCTAAGCCCCCAGAGGAATCATCCGGGCATCAGCGATTCCTGCCGTGGTCTGGGGCCCACCCTCTGGCGACCACAAGGTGTGGCTCTCCACGCAGTGCTCCGGGTGGGCCAGGTGTCACACCCCCATGGCCCCCTGCATTCCTTCAGCCTGCACCCTCTCCGCGGCTCCCGGGCACCGGCTGGGGAATCCAGCTGGGAGACAGACATGCAATGTGACTTCAGGCCAGCAGAGGGCAGTGGCTACCCTGGCCTGGAGGCCCGGCTGGCACTGAGAGGAGGGAGGGGAGCCCTACGTGGGGAGCGGTGGAGGGCCATAGGAGGCTGAGCCCACCAGGTGTCAGCAAGATCCAGGTTCCCCCCACAAACCCTAAGGGGAGCCACCGAGGGCCAGGGGGTGGGGGCGGAGTGCCGTGGAGACGAGCCACGGGTGGGGCCAGGACACCAGTGAGGAGGGCGCCCTCGGCCCCGGGCGCAGCTGCGCGGAGGCAGATAAATGGGCTCAGTGACTGTGAAACTGCGGGACGCGCCGAGAAGCCCCCGAGTGTGACCGCACGCCGGCAGCCCGAGGGGAGAGAGACGCTTCCCACCGTTTATCACAGCGGCCCAGGCAGCCCGGGCCGCCCTTCCGGGGGCTCCCCCCGCACGCCCCGCCATGTTTAAGCCCCCTGCCTTCCGTGCGTGAACGCGGGCCGCCGCCAAACAACGCCGGGGACGCCCCCTTCCCTCCCGCGGCCGGTCTGTACCGCTTTGCTTCTGTGTCCTTCCGCGTCTCCGTGTCCCCCACCCTTCCAAGGGCAAGAGCGGCCGTGGTGGGCTCGGATGGACCCCAGATGCTGTCCTGCCCACCCTCCAGGAACCTGAAGCCCCCTTCGCCCAGCAAGGGGCGAGGCCGAGAGGGCCCCCGGCGGCAGACGAGGAGCCGCGCCCTGTCGCTGGCGCCACCCCCCCCCCCCCCCGCCCCCGCGCTTGCTGATGGGAGACAAGCTGGAAGGAGGTCTTGCCAACCTCCTCTCTCTGCAGCAGCAGCGCCCCCTGCCCCCCCACCCCCCAGCCCCAGCTCCTTCAACAGCTCCTGGGTTCTTGTGCGATGGCCGTCAGTCGCTTGCCGGACACGCTCGCCCCGAGAGTGGACGGCCTCAGAGGAGGCCTTTCCTGCCTGCGGCCTCCGGCCCTCGGTCCAGGAGGGCTTGTTTTACGTGGGGGCGCCGGGCAGCCCCCTCCTTGGGCAGAGTGTGTATCCGCTGTGGGCTCTGTCTGAACGGTGCCACCTGCCGGGTGTTGGCCGCCACTGCACTCGTTCCACGGGTGCCGCTGGTGTCCTCTGCTTGCGCCCCACCAGCGGGAGGCCGCAAGGCAGGGCCTCCCCGCGGCCTGGTGCAGGGGCAGACTCATCACCGCCTCTGCCCTTCCACCCGTGTTCCGACAGGGAGCGCGGGCCTGCCAGCTACGCGGAGGCGGGAAGGTGCTGCAGGAGTCGGTACTCCAGGGCTGGAGCGTTGGCGCCCGCGCTGGCAGCTGACATCTCACTGGGCAGCTGCTGGCCTTTGGCTGCCTGCTGACTTCCACCCGCACTGCTCATGCGGCCCAGGGCCTGGAGGACAGCCTGGCCTGGTCCCCGGATGGGGACCTGCAGGCCCTGACCCTTCGCAGGACCTGAGGAGACTCAGGCCAAAGGAAGGTCACTCAGGCTGCGGCCCCCAGGGCCAGCACTCCGCCAGAGCAGCGAGCCTCTCACCCCCTCAGTGGGGACGGCTCTTGGGGACGCTGGGTCCCCAGCCACAGAGGCCACGACTGGCCCCTTCAACTTCTGTGTCCTTGGCTGGCGGGACCCGGTGGCCGTCATGGGGCAGGCCTGGTCACGGCTTCTGTGTGCCCAGTGCTGTTCGGTGCCCGACGCACAGCAGGGCCCCCCAAACGCCTGGTGATGGAATGCAGGAGCCCTGCCATGGAGGAGGCCTCTGGCTCTTTCTGCAGAGCCGGCACCGGCTGTTGTGCATCTGATCCACCTGTCTCCTGGTGGCGAACCCCAGGCGCACGTGAGTCTGTGAGCGGTCATGCGGCCTGACCAGATGCCCCCTGACCGCTGCCGTCCCTCAGACCGAGACCAGCTGGCCCGGACGCGCTCACGGCGAGCCCCACCTCCGAGCCTGCACAGGCCAGAAGCACGTGACGAGCAGCGGGAGGTCCGGCTGCTCCCGCATCTGTGACCCACACCCCGGGCTTCGTCCCTCTGTAGGAACTCTGGGGGCGTCTCTGGGAGACGCCGAACTAGGGACGGCAGCGCACGGGTGTCTCACGGCTTCGTGTGGGCTCAGGCCGAGCAGAAGGGCCTGGCAGCGCCCCCGATGAGGGTCTGTCTGGTCCAGCCCCGGAGCAGGTTGGGCTCTCGCCCCAGAGAGCTCGGACAAGGCTGCCCACACAGGGAGGGCGGGGACACGTGGGTCCATGCAGCCCCTTGGGAGCCAGAGTGCATTGGGGGAGGGCCAAGGGAACGAGGTCAGGGGGCACCCATCAGGAGCCGCCAGGGCGCTGCCTCTGCCCAGCAGCTGGGAGCTGCTGGCCCCTCGCCCAGCTTGGCCGGCCAGCCAGTGCTGGGGCTGTGCCAGCAGGGATGGTGGCCTGACCCCAAGGCCCCGTTGCGGCGGTGGGGACAGGCACCTCAAGAATGCATCGGAGAGCCAAGGAAGGGGCGGGGCGGGGGGGCCGGTCACCAGGAGGGCCGGCCTGGGGCACGGCCGCCCCTCCTCTCTGCACTCCGTCCTGCTGGGAAAGTGCAGGCCTCAGCCCTTTTCCTCGGAGTTGCATTACAACCACATAATTGGAGCTATCTGATTGGAGGGCAGCCAGGCAGGTAGATTACAAGTGATTAGACATGACAGCAACGCCCGCCACGGAGACGGCTCTGCGGCCCGGGCCCCCTCGCCCGCCGCCGGCCCTGCCACGCGCCCCCGTGACACCGGGCCAGCCCAGGCCGCCAGCCCGGCCTCGGCCACTTCCCTCGCTGCCCATGAACAGGTCCCTGGCAGCCGGGGACACGCTCCGTCCCTCAGGTGAGGTGGGAGCTGGGCTGACGTCGGGCTCGGGGAGCGGGGTGGGGGGGGCAGCTGCAGGTGGTGGGCCTGCTTCGGGCCGGGCGGCTGCCCACCCCACTGGGCCTGGCTGAGCAGGTGCCACTGGAAGGGTGCTTGGTGTCAGAGGGTGACCGTGACTGGGACCCCCCACTGTGGACTCTGACTCTCCGTCCATGTGCTGGCCTCGCCGCCCTCCTGAGCCGTCCTTGGGTGGGGGGGGGGCTCTGCTTCCTGAAGCCCCAGGTCGCGGGGGCCCCTTACCGGCACCGTCTGGGCCCCGGCGATGGGCTGTGTGCTGGCCTCGGGGCCCGGCTGCTCAGGGTGGGTCTGTGCTGGCGTGTACAGGGTCATGCCGTGCTCCGGGGGGACGGGGGTCTGGCCCGAGTAGTCCTGCGTGGGGTGCGGTGGGGGCGGGGCGTACTCCGCGGGGATGCCGTTCTGCGGGGGCGGGGGATACTGGGCGGGGGGGTAGGGCTGGGCCATCGCTTCAGGCGGAGCCGTGGCGTCCTGACTGCCCTGTGGAGAGAGAGAGACAGAGAGAGAGAAGGCTGGTCAGACTCCTGGGGAGGCCCAGCCCCGGCCCCCATCCCAACCACCCCCTGCAATCTGGGTGCTGTGGGGACCAACAGTGAAGGGCATCAAAAGCAGCCCCGGAGGATGTCCCCCAGCCCCAAGGGAGGGACCGGGGTCCCTCGTGCTGTCGGGGGGAAGGAGGGCTGGGGTGCGTTCTGGCTTTTCCCACTCGGTGTCCTTCACTGTAGATGCGCACTGAGGGCTGGCTGGCAGCAGCCCCTCTGGGGCGGTGAGGCACTCTCGAGCCTTCTGAGCGTGTCCTCAGGGCACAGACAGGTGCCCGCTCTCACGAGCAGTGAGGGCCACTTCCTCCCTGCACGGAAGGGCCCTTCGCCGGCGTGGGCACCCCGACACTCAGGACTGCTCCCCCCCAACCCCGTGGAGGGGGCGCTGTGCCTGTGCCCCCCTGCTCCCCCGCCACGCTGAGCGGGCACGCTGGGCGTCTGTGTCCCCGTCCACCTCCCCTGCCCCGAGGCGGGCGCTCCTTCCGGAGAGCACGCTGGGCCCCCTCTCTGTGCAGCCTCCATCTGGTCGCCACCCACTCACCCCGTGACTGTGCACTGGGGGTCCGGGGGTCGGGGCGGGCAGCCCCTGCCTCTGCGGGGTCTGCCGTCCGGTGGGGGAGGGGAGAGCCGCTCAGACAGTGACCGCAAAGTCAAGTCAGTTGTTAGAGTGAAAGGCGCCCGGAGAGGCCTGGCCACAGGGGGCGACGGTGAGTCAAAGACCCTGCCAGGCCCTCTGCCTCCGGCCCCAGCCCTGCCCCCTCCATGTAGATGGGGGCCTGAGGTCAACTCTGTGTCCAGGGCCCGGCCCCCACTCCCCAAACCCCCAACGCCAGCCTCCGCGGTCTCAGTGCCTGCCAGCCCTAACTCCCGGGCGACCCCTGACGCAGAAGTCCTGTCCTCCTCCTCCTCGGCAGGGTCGCCGGGCCCCCTCCCTCTCTGCAGAAACGGGGGGGGGCAGCGCCTGCACTCCTGACAATGGGGGGAACACGCGTGTGCATGCACACATGAAGACATGCCCATGTAGACCCCCCCCACCCCACTGCTCCGGAGTCACCCTTGACCCCCACGACCCTCCGTGAGCAAACGTGTTGGTGACGCCCCGGGGCTCCGGGGTGTGGGAGCCAGGCAGGCTCGGGGCGCAGGGGGACGCGGCCGGCCCGGGGGGGTGGTGAGGAGGGAGGGGCAGGAGAGCCAGGAGGGAATTGTGGGACGGCCGGTGGGGGAGGGAGAGGCGGCTCACGGGATCAATTAACAGATAAATATTTGATTAGAACCTTAGCTACCTCTCGTCTTCCCCGTGCCCCTCCCCCTCCGCGGCTCCACGGCTGGGGGAAAGGGCGGCTCTTCTCCCTCCTCACCCCACCCCGCCTTTCCCAGGCCCCTCTGCCCCGGGGCCCGTCTGGGCTGAGTGACAGCTGCCAGTCACTCCCGCTGCCGTGGATCCCGGCGGCGGCCCAGAGCCCACTCTGCCAGGGAGCCCGCGACACAGAGGTGGGGTCCCCTGGTGTGGTGGGGGGGAAACTGAGTGCAGGTGTCCGCGGGGGCCTGGGGTGCGCGGGAGGCAGCGGCGCGGTGGGACGGCTGGGGACACCGGTGACAGGGTGACAGAGTCAGCACCTCTGAGCACACAGCGCTCTCGGCTGTGCAGACGGGAGCCCCTGCCGTCCTCCCAGCCCACCTGGCAGACACTGCTCCTTCCTCGTTTCCCGGCTCACGAGACCGCGGCGACGCGTCGGGCTAGGCCCGGGGCCGCTGGGACCGGGGCTCAGGGCTGCCTGGCCCCCAGACCTGGCCCCCCGCCCCGCCGGCACAACGGCGGCCCTTGGCTCCAGGGTCCGGAGAGGGGTGTGGGATGCGCAGGGGGGTCCACCCCCCCATGAGCCAGCGGGTGGTCCTAGGTGCCAGCTTGTCCTCTCCGAGGGGGCTTCCCCAACGGCAGGCAGCCGTGTGCAACGGACAGTGGGATGCGTGAGCAGAGGGAAGGTGGACGGATGGACACATAGATGGAAAGATAAGTGGGTGGACAGATGGACGGGTGGACAGATGGATGAATGGCCCACAGCCCACAGGTCCCATGTGAGGTGGGAGACCGCCCCACCCAGCCTGCGGCCGCCAGAAAAGGCCGGTCCAAGCCAGCGGAGAGCCGGCACAGAGGCTGGGGAGACGGGCCCGGCCCCCTGGCCTCCCCCCGAGACGCCTCCCTGACTGACTCCAGCCTGCGCCCCGGAAACACGGGCAGAAAGACCCCCGCTGCTGGACAATCCACGCCCCCCGTTACGAGTCCTTCACGACGTCACCCCGAAGGTGTGCGGGATTCGGAGGGGCCCTGCAGGGGAACCCTTCCAGGGGAGAATGGGGCGCGGCCTCTGGAAGCAGGGGCGCCTCCGGGCGGCGCCCGGCTGCTGTTCCGGGGCGGGGAATGGGGGTGGGAAGGCACCGTGCCTCAGCACGGCGCCTGCCGGAACATTCCGGAGCCTCCGCAGTGGGGGTGGCGGCGCTGGGACCGGGAGAGCCCCGAGGGCGAGGGGCGCACCACCGCGTCTCGCACCTGACGTGGTGCAGACGCACAGCAGCTGCCGGGGAAATGCTGACTGCGGCCGTGGCCGCCACGGGCGGCGGCTCCCGGGAGCCCGGCCCCGTGTTCCGCAACACGGACGTGCTCTTGAGTGTCGGTGTCGGCTCTGAGGACTGCATGTGCCCCCTCGCTGTCCCCCCCTCCCCTCGCCCAGGAAAGCAACTCGGTGGACATTACCTGCCCACCTGCATGCAGCCAGCATGCGGCTGACCTGGGCTGGGTGGCCCAGCTGGCCACCGACTGCATGCTGGACGCCGCCTGGGCACAGGGCCGCCCCGTCGAGCCCCATGCACCCCCGTCCCAGGGAGGGGGGCCGGGGAGGGAGCACGGGGGGGGCGGGCGAGACCAGACCCCACAAGGCAGCCAGCTGCTGGAAGAAGGACGGCTGCGAGGCCCCCAAGCTGGGGGTGAGAACGCCCTGGCCCCTCCTGGCCCATCCCAGGCACTCTGTCCCCGGTGGCCACTCTCATGTGGGTTGTTAGTCAGGGCGGTCAGGCGGCCTGTCCCCTGCCCCCAGGACCTCATTCGGGGACTGCCAGGTCCCATGCCCCGCAGCCGTGGGCTCTCAGGCCCGGCCCCTCCCCCCTGCACGAGGGCCTGCCCCGGGGACACGGGGTGACCTCTGCTCCCGCCCAAGGCCCAGAGAGGCTTCAGGGGACGTCCCAGCAGAGCCCGGCGCGAGAGCAGGGCCCCGAGTCACTCTAGTTCACGGTTCCTCATGGAGTCCCATGGAGGTGACCAGGAGGGGGCTGCCTACGGCCCGTCCCCTCCCTCCACCCGACACTCGAGTGACCGCCCACTCCTGTGCTCCGGGCCACGGCCTCTCACTTCCCTAGCACGCGGCCAGTCTCTGGACAGCCCCCCCCCCACACAAGACCCCAGGGTGGGAGGGCCACCCAGGGCCCCGTCACCAGCAGAGGCCTCGCGGACCCAGCCCCGGGCAGGCCCAGCCCCGGGCCTGGTCGCTCCCCACGCACCTGATGAGGTCCCGGGTATTTCACGAGCTTCCTCTCCCTCCACAGGTGCACGCTCTCTGTGCCTCTGTGGAGTTCGTGTGCTGCATTTGACACCTTTTGCTGAGAAGGGGCCCCTGCACCTCAGCAGGTGCTGAGGGGTTCAGGGCACAGGACGCAGTGAGGACCTTGGTCCCCAGGGCCTTCCCCACCCCCAACACAAACACAGCCCCGCCAGAGCCCACCCGGCCCAGACGCGGCCCCTTCCTGCATGGGGCGGGGGGGCCCAGACTGCTGCTGAAAAGCCCCAGGAGGGGGAGGGATTCTCGCCATGAAGCCCTGCCCCCCCCCCGATCCCCCAAGCTCACTGTGCACACAGAAATGCCGAGGCCGCACAAACCCTGTCTTCCCGCCGGCCTCGCCTGCACCTGGCTCTCCAGTTCTCCGTCCTGCCTGGGGGTGTCAGCCAGGCGCTGCCTGGCTGGGGCGGCTGGGGGCGCCGGGGGCGCCGGGGGCGCCGGGGAGCCATTTGCTGAGCACCCACTATGTCGGGGGCACCACAGGGCAAAGCCCGGCCAGGCTCTGCACAGAGATTCGCTGTGGGAAGGCGCCTCTCCCTTCCTCCCACCGGACCCCATCCTGGGGGTGCTCAGACACCTCCTCTGGGAAGCCTTCCTGGCTCTTGCAACCCCCCCCCCCATGTCCACTTTGCTGGGCTCCTCCCCCGCCCCTCCCCGAGGCCCTCGGAGGGAGACACGGCTGTGTTGGTCAGCAGGGGTGTGCACAGGTAGCGTCTCCGAGGACCGGAGGACACCGGGGTCCCACTCGGTGGGGACGGAGGGAGCATGGCTGGGGCCAGAGCTGCCTCCCGGGGCCTGGGGAGGACGACGCTGGGGACCACGGTCAGGGTGACCTGCAGGAGGCGGCGTGCTGAGCGCCGCCCCCCTCCCAGCGCCATCCGGACAGTGAACGTTGGACAGCGGCCCCCCGGGCGGAGCCCTCGCCCCCCAGGGCCAGCGTCTGCCGCCCGGGCCTGCTGCTTCATGTTCATTAAGGGTCATCGGCGCCACTAATGGCCCGTGACCCCCATTTAGCAGATGGAGCAGGGTATTACACACAGCGCCCAGGACACGGGGTGGGCAGGCGGGGGTGGGCGGGCACCGGGACGCACCCTTGGGTGCAGCCCACGGTCTGTGCGCCGTGGCCTCGGGCCCCAGACGTCCCAGCTCCCTCCCACAGTGCCCTGTGGCTGCGGCCGTGGGAAGCAGGCTCTCCTGAAAACCCGTGGAATGTAATTAGGGAGGTAAATTTCCCAGCAGCCGAGATTACATAACGGCCCCGCAGTCAGCGCCGGGGCTGGCTGGAGCGGCGTGGATCCGTCCTCGGGCGGGATGGCCCCCCTCCCGGGGT